GTTCTTTGTAAATTCTGGATATCAGCCCTTTGTCAGATGGGTAGACTGCAAAAATTTTTTCCTATTCCGTTGGTTGCTGGTTCACTCTAATGACTGTTTCTTTTGCTGTGCAGAAGCTGTGGAGTTTGATTAGGTCCCATTTGTCTATTTTGGCTTTTGTTGTCAATGCTTTTGGTGTTTTGGTCATGAAGTCCTTCCCTACGCCTATGTCCTGAATGATTTAGCTTAGATTTTCTTCTAGGGTTTTTATGGTGTTGGGTCTTATGTTTAAGTCTTTAATCCATCTGGCGTTAATTTTAGTGTAAGGTGTCAGGAAGGGGTCCAGTTTCTGCTTTCTGCACATGGCTAGCCAGTTTTCCCAACACCATTTATGAAACAGGGAATCCTTTCCCCATTGCTTGTTTTTGTCAGGTTTGTCAAAAGATCGGATAGTTGTAGATATGTTGTGTTGCCTCTGAGTCCTCTGTTCTGTTCCATTGGTCTATATCTCTCTTTTGGTACCAGTAACATGCTGTTTTGATTACTGTAGCCTTGTAGTATAGTTTGAAGTCCAGTAGTGTGATGCCTACTGCTTTGTTCTTTTTGCTTAGAATTGACTTGGCTATGTGGGCTCTCTTTTGATTCCATATGAAGTTTAAGGTGTTTTTTTCCAGTTCTGTGAAGAAGGTCATTGGTAGCTTGATGGGGATAGCATTGAATCTATAAATTACTTTGGGCAGTATGGCCATTTTCACGATATTGATTCTTCCTAACCATGAACATGGAATGTTTCTCCATCTGTTTGTGTCCTCTCTTATTTCGTTGAGCAGTGGCTTGTAGTTCTCCTTGAAGAGATCCTTTACGTTCCTTGTTAGTTGTATTCCTAGGTATTTTATTCTCTTTGTAGCAATTGTGAATGGCAGTTCGTTCTTGATTTGGCTCTCTTTAAGTCTGTTATTGGTGTATAGAAATGCTTGTGATTTTTGCACATTGATTTTGTATCCTGAGACTTTGCTGAAGTTGCTTATCAGTTTCAGGAGATTTGGGGCTGAGATGATGGGGTCTTCTAGATAAACAATCATGTCGTCTGCAAATAGAGACAATTTGACTTCCTCCTTTCCTATTTGAATACCCTTTATTTCTTTTTCTTGCCTGATTGCTCTGGCTAGAACTTCTAGTACTATATTGAATAGGAGTGGTGAGAGAGGGCATCCTTGTCTAGTGCCAGATTTCAAAGGGAATGCTTCCAGTTTTTGCCCATTCAGTATGATATTGGCTGTTGGTTTGTCGTAAATAGCTTTTATTATTTTGAGATACATTCCGTCAATACCTTAGTTTATTGAGAGTTTTTAGCATAAAGGGCTGTTGAATTTTGTCAAAGGCCTTCTCTGCATCAATTGAGATTATCATGTGGTTTTTGTCTTTGGTTCTGTTTATATGATGAATTACTTTTATAGACTTGGTGTATGTTGAACCAGCCTTGCATCCCTGGGATGAATCCTACTTGATCATGGTGGATAAGCTTTTTGATGTGCTGTTGCAATTGTCTTGCCAGTGTTTTATTGAAGATTTTTGCATCTGTGTTCATCATGAATATTGGCCTGAAGTTTTCTTTTCTTGCTGAGTCTCTGCCGGGTTTTGGTATCAGGATGATGTTGGTCTCATAAAATGATTTGGGAAGAATTCCCTCTTTTTGTATTGTTTGGAATAGTTTCAGAAGGAATGGTACCAGCTCCTCATTGTATGTCTGGTAGAATTCGGCTGTGAACCCATCTGGACCTGGGCTTTTTTTTGGGTGGTAGGCTCTTAATTGCTGCCTCAACTTCAGACCTTGTTATTGGTCTATTCAGGGTTTCGACTTCTTCCTGGTTTAGGCTTGGGAGGATGCAAGTGTCCAGGAATTTATCCATTTCTTCCAGGTTTACTAGTTTATGTCCATAGAGTTGTTTGTAATAATCTCTGATGATGGTTTGTATTTCTGTGGAATCTGTGGTGATATCCCCTTTATCATTTTTTATTGAATCTATTTGATTATTCTCTTTTCTTTTTTATTAATCTGGCTAGCGGTCTATTTTGTTGATCTTTTCAAAAAACCAGCTCCTGGATTTATTGATTTTTTGAAGGGTTTTTTGTGTCTCTATCTCTTTCAGTTCTGCTCTGATCTTACTTATTTCTTGTCTTCTGCTAGGTTTTGAGTTTTTTTTGATCTTGCTCCTCTAGTTCTTTCAATTTTGAGGACAAGGTGTCAATTTTAGATCTCTTCTTGCCTCTAATGTGGGCATTTATTGCTATATATTTTCCTCTAGAGACCACTTTAAATGTGTCCCAGAGATTCTGGTATGTTGTGTCTTCGTTCTGGTTGGTTTCAAAGAACACCTTTGTATTGGCGACTCTCTCTGTAGTGGCGGGTTGCCTCGGCAATGGCGGGCTGCCTCAGCAATCCTTCATAGTGGTGGACTGCCTCGGTAATGGCGGACGCCCCTCCTCCACAGAGCTGGACCTTCCTGGGTTCAGCTGTGCTTGCTGTGAAACTCTCAACCCAGAGCGTTTCCAATTGCTGTTTTTTTGTGGGGGTGGGACGAGCCTGATCACCTGGCTCCTTGCCTCAGAGACTTTTCTTTTTTTGTCTCCCAGGAGTTCCAGTCGCGGTTGAAAAGTCGCTGGGATCTGTGTGATTTCCCATGCGGCGACCCACTGCGCTGGGTGAAACACCGGCGCTGAAATTCACGGCGTTTTTTTGCCCAGGAATCTCCTGGCCTGGCTCCCTGTTTCAGTCCCCTTTTTAATCAGATGAATGGGCGACTCTGCCTTCCCAGAACTCCAATCACCAGCTAAAACGGTGCCCGGACCGTGTATTTTGTATGGAGAACCGCCGCCCGAGGGCGCCAGCAAAGCAGTGGTGCCGGCCAGACAGCCTCGCTGGGGCCGTGGGGCTCCTCCACTTGAGAATCTCCTGGTCTGTGGGCAATAAAAATCCATCTGGAAATGCTGAGTCCACTCACCCTCTGTGCTTTCACTGGGAGGTGCAATCCTGAGCTGCTCCTAATCGGCCATCTTGGATCCTCCCCCCCTCCAATATTTCTTATATTGAACATAGTGGGTGCTTTCACATCATACCAGTCTTTCTTAGAAAATGGATCAACCACTTTCTTCTTGGCTCCTTTTTTGCCGCCTTTCGTAAGGCGCTTGTTCTTGCCAGCCGCCATGGTGCTGCTCAGAGAGCCAAAATAATTAGTTAGCTTTTATTGTTTATTTTTTTGAGACAGGATCTCACTCTGTCGCTAAGGCTGGAGTGTAGTGGTATGATCTGGGCCTAATACAGTCTTAACCTGCTGGGCTTAAGCAATCCTCCTACCTGAGTCTCCCCAGTAACTGGGACCACCACACTCGACTAATTTTTATAGTTTTTATAGAGACAGAGTTCTGCTTTGTTACTCAGGATGATCTCTAACTAACACCTGAGCTAACTGAGCATCCCTCCTGCCTGCACTTCTCAACGTGCTACAATTACAGACATAAGCC